TCTACTTTGAAACCTGCCTTTATTGCCACTCTCTTATCCAGAATGCAAGTCCATCCATTTAGAAAACTAAAACAAGGTATGATGTCCCCAGTATTACTCTGGCAGGGTTCAGGAATAAATGAGCATTTTTTAATGAAAAGCTATGGGATTTTTGGCCTGTTTATCATAATTTTCCCTATTCTTATGACATATCTGTCACAATTGCATCCTTGAAGCTTCAAACTCTGCCATGAGCACTTACACTTCCTTGCCACACTTGTAGCCTAATTTCTAAAGTACTAGGGTGAATTTTTATTTTACTGGAGAGGGAGAGTGCTTCCTTGATTATCTTTCAGCTTCTGAGGTACAAACACCTTCCCCCTAGTAATCTTCTCCCTCCACCTGACACAGGGGAAATCCCCCACACCCAGAAATAAGGCAAACCCTCTCCTCACCAGGAATTTTGCTTTTCGTGTAATCCAAAGCAAACATAACGAGAGCCAATGTTGTGGGGTGGCCCTCCCTGTAACTTTATTTTATACTGTGCAAGACAACCAAACCTCTTTTATCTAGGCTAGAAAATATAATAATATCAAACTCTCATGGTTGAAAAACCAAAATAACTCAAGTATAGTTATAAAAATAAAATATGCTTTACAAAGAAATAACAGTAATGTCCTCGTGCTGTATAAAACCTAGAATACAGATAACAAGTAGTTAACAAGATTTTATTGTCATATATATTGATACAAAAGTTCAATATGCAACACATTTAACTCTCTTTGAGACTGAAGTAAGTCCTTAGGTAGAATGACTAGAGAGAAACCTATCACAAGTTTATTCACAGGGGTAATCCTGACCTCAGATGTACTTGTGCTGTGCAATGCACATCAAAGCAGAGGAGCCCAGACTGGCACAGGAACCCAGATCCAGGGGGATGAGCCACGTGTGTGAGGTGTCTCATCAGTGTTCATTAAGGTTTATTGGCTGTGACAAAGCACTCTGGCAGCACAGCCCCATGGGGCCGGTATTTCACTGCTGGAAATGGGGGCGGGTTCAGCCCAGTGACTCCACACACTTTTGGATCAGGGTTAATTTAAGTTACTCTTGCTCTCCATACACCAATTTACAGATATTCATATTTCTGTATTCTTGAAGGCAGGGGCCAGCACAAGGTGCTACTGCTAGGTAGCAACCTAAAGCACTATGACAAAAGACACAGTCTTGGCAAATTCTTCTGGGCAGCTTTGCTCTCCATGCTGGGCCAGGATTAACACTGTTTTCTTTGGGACAGGCCATGCAAGACAATGCAATAGAAACTTCTGCTTTTATGAGCCTGCCCTGAATTTTATGTTCTACTTCAAAATGTATCTAAGTTGTGAAACTGTTATACCACCAATTTTTTGTCTTTTCCTGGTCTATGCCCTTTGGAGACAAGACTGCCTGTAGCATTTCTGCTCTCTCTTCTTGCCTAGTCAACATATTCTCAATTAAAAATATATTAATAGCCACAATCCTCAAACACACTAATTTACATAAAAAGAAGGCCAAATGGTACCTAATCTTATGTGCCACCTTTTTTGAACAGATACCAAAAGCTTGGAGAGCACTGTAAAGATTTGGTTGTTTTCTAAGCAATAGTGCCTGCACCAATGCTGTTTCTAGTACATGTGAGTTTGCTCCCATTCATCTTAATTACAAGTGGGGCTTCAAATAAAACAAATTGAATTCTAATGAGTTAGGCAACTCTTAACAAAACTAATACCCTGCCTTGCAATTTATGAGTAGTGTCCTCTGGGTAATGACCAAGACAAAATGCAGAGCTACAGACACATCATAAGTTAAAGGAGATTGGCCTAAATTTGATTCTGGGGATTTGGTTGGTTTGGTTTTTGTTTTTTTGTTGTTGTTTTGTTTGTTTTGGGTTGAGGTTTTTTGATGGTTTTTTGTTGTTGTTTTTATTTGTTTTGGGGTTTTTATTTGGTTTTTCTGGTTTTTGTTGGGTTTTTTGTTTGCTTTTTGTTTTTAATTCTGTGTGGTTTTAATAGCTGTGACTAATCATTGCTCTTTTTGTATAAATGTGGGGAAAAAAGGCAAGATTATCAGAGTCATCTTACTTCATGAACAGAAAAAAAGACCAGGTAAACTTCATCAAATACAATCTGCTTCCAGAAATCATAATTTTATGAACTATTGCAGCAATCTCATTTTATCAGCCATTTACTTGTGTTGCTGGTGATAGGTATATGAGCAGCACATGATCATTCTGCCAGAAATAAGTGTTACCCCTTTCTCTAGCCCTGTCATAGCCAATTCTCTCACTCCTCTCTCCTGGTTTGGTTTGATATTTTAATTTTCAAAGTTTCTGGTTCACTGAAGATTTTTGGTTGTTTTTTTCCCTTGAGGGAGCGAGGGAGAGGGGGAGGAAAGTTCAGTTTATAAGCTTATGATCTGACCCATTTCCCCTGTCCCGTTTTCAGTTGTTACAGTCATATACAGCTGCCCTCTGCAAATTAATATTACCATTGCTGTGCTTCAATGCTTTGTATTCCCAGCCCCTTTAAACCTCTTACTTTAGAACAGTGTTGTGCAATAACATATTGAATAAATGAGTAACCGCTACATTCTGCTTCTGTATTTATGAAAAGCCAGAGAAATTTCTTTTTTGACAGTGAACAAGAAATTAGATGTACTTTAAAGGCTTCTGAAGTGTATTTCACTTGCTACCAGATGAAATCAAAGAGACAAAATTACTTTTTCCCTACTTAAATATTTCATTGATTTTTCTTAGAACACTATGCTCCCTCCTCTCCAAGGTGTGCATGATGATTCCTTTGCTGTACCATAAGGCAACCTTTATAGACCTAAACCAGCTCAGAGTATTTATAAAGAATGACCCATGGTAATGTTCAATGCATTTTAATGCACATATTCTACCTATATAGTCTATTGCCCAGAAACTTCATAACAGAAGTACTGAATTTTATTCTCTACCTGACAGGCCTGTCTACAAGAGCTGTGTCTGCAGTGCTAAATTACACCCATATTCTGGCTGCCCATGGCTTCACACACCCCATGCACATTAATTGTTGCAACCAGAAACAAAATTGAGAAAGGCATGTGGGACTGTGCATGAAAGGGGGGCACACTTATTGAAATTCATGTATTGCTCTGCTTGATTCCCCAAGCCACACGTGGGAACACTTAGCCATAGGCAGCTGCATCACTGTCTCAGGGAGGAGGAGGAACTGGGGCAGAACAGTTCCACTGTGTGGTTTCACTGTTGGTCACAGCTTTTCAGACATGCAAAGCATAAACCAAGAGCTTGGCCTGCTGGGCTTCAGTGCCTGCAAACACAGAATAAAATTCACCTGGAGCTACTGTGGCAATTGTGTACCAATTGATGTGCAGTTAATTAGACCCCAACTATTTTCTAAAAGTAAAATGCAAAGCCCTACAGGTTCTCATCACATAAAAGCAAAATAAGCTTATGCATTCCTCCAAACTAAGATCAAACTGTGTCCCCCAGATGTGCCAACAACCTGCCCAGCATTTTACTGATTAACTTCTTTAGTATCTCCAACACAGAAACAGCAAAATAGCATTTTCAAATAATAAAAAAAGAAAGTTTCTACTGCAAAGAAAGACCACACACAAGTACAGCAGCACTTATGTAAGTCTGCATGTGTGCTTTGGCTCTCACCAAAGCCTTGCACAGCCCTTTGCTGGTGCTGCTACCTTAAAAGCACCGGTTATTTCAGCAGGAAACTCTGCACAGGGGCCATCCCTACATCAGAGTGGGCTTGAAAAGAAAGTTTCTTTGATTTCAACAGCCCATTTCTTAATTCTTAGCAACTGGTGTAAATCAGGAGCTCCATTCCAGTTGCTCCAGTGTAAAACCACTTTAGAGGGCAGATCCAAGTCTAGTCTTTCAACTTCAAGAAGCACCTGGACTCCATCCAGGCTGGACTGGTTGGCTTTTTGCAGTTTGAAACTGAAACAAGGAGAGAGCTGCATTTCACACAGTTCCACTGGTCATCTCTCTGAACCTGACAGAAGACAGCCCTCAGGGAGAGTTACAAGTACACTTTTTTTCTGGTTTGATTGAGTCTTGCAAGTGCAGATAACTTTTTATTAATTTAACACATTTTGAATTACAATTGTAATTAAGCAAGCAGATTTTTTTTCCCCACAATCACATAAAATGGCTCAAGCAATTTTGTGTTCTAATTTTTATATTCATAGAGCAAATATTAGACTGTCCAGTTATATTACTGAACAATAGATAACAACCCTAGGTCACAGTGTACGTTCTTTTCAAGAAGACAATCATAAATACTAAAAGAAATGTTCTTTTAGAGTTACTTAATTTTATTTAATTAAATAATTTAAATTAAAAGGGGTTTTCATATAATTTTTTCTTCCGGCTTCAAACTATAATTCTAACAGGAGAATAAGCCAATTTTTTTCTCAATATTTTCAAACCACTGCTTTCAGGACACTGCAACACTGAACTGCGACAAATACATATCTTCAAAGCAGTCACTTCATATTTTTATATTTATTCCAGACCCCTATGAACCCATTAGTCCAACAGTAGAGGCATGGTCTAAGATAATGCATGAGTGTCATTGCTAATTGAAAAAATGAAGTTAATATATATTTGTTGATCAGAAGTAAGGAAAAAACATCATTCTGCCACTCCTATTTCAGATCCCATTTCATAACCAGTCCTTACAAACATCTACTTTGTGATAAATCATGTTTTTTGAACAACCCAAAAACCCACATTTTCCATAAATGTTTCCTTGAGCACTCTGCATCAGTTCTGTGTTCATGCTTAACTGGCTCCTATCATACCACATTCTTCAGGAAAGCAGCTGCTTTTCTGTCTTTGGTATTTTAAAAAAATTAAAGTGAGACTTTACACTTTTAATTAGATGTTTAATTCATGCTTTTGTGAACTATTTCCTTCCAACTGGAATTTTGTCACACAACTATAACAGTCTTTCCACTGCCAATTTTTTTTTTTTTTTAAATGCTAACACAGAGTCTCAAAGAATGTGTATTGCACAATTTGGTAAAGAATTTGAAAGTGAAAGTCTCATTTGTGAGTAAAGTAGGAACGCCTAGGAACTGGCACAAGCTGTGGCTGTAAAAATATGCAACGCTCAGAACAAAAAACCCTCCAAAACCAAGGGAACAGTTTAAACACATTTCATAGGGCATACAGTAAATACTAAGTTTAAGAGACTAGTTGAAAGAGCAAACTGAGCAGAACATGGCTCTTACTGATGAGCTACAGTACATTACTACTTTTGTGGTTTTACTTTTAAAGAAGCAAATGTAGAAATACTCCTCAAAAAACAAATGAAATGTGAGTCAGCCGTTTGAAGAAGGTGCTGAAGAGAAGCCCACTTATTCAGAAGGAGCTTCCTTTTTCCACCCTTCCTGGCAGTCAGCACATTCAGCAGTCAGCTTCCCAAATCCTTCAGGAGCAGCTGAGTGTCATTCAGCCAAATGATGTTCCCATTAAGAAAGCAGCACATACCATGCTTTTTTCTCAGCTGTCAGTATTGTTTCTCATCACAGGATGAGGGTGAGCAGGATTTGGCTTGTCCTCAGGCCTGTATAATGGATTATCATTACTGGTAATAACAACATTCTGTAGGCCAAGAGTCCTCATCTTGCTGCACCTGGTGCTCAGGCCTAGAATGAACAGCCCTGTTAATCCACTTGCTAACCTGGCAAACCTGTTTGCCCTCCTCTGAGCTTGTTGTACCCGTAGAACCCCCAATGAGCAGTCTTGGGTGAGTCTCTTCAGACATCAACTGGGCTCAAAGGCAAACCCCATGGCGTGCCAAGATACAAGCCCTGAGCTGAAGGTAACTTCTATTCCACAACGGAGATAGAATTTGAGGGCTTTCCTGAGATACTTAAGGTTGTTTGAAACTGGTGGTTCTGGTTGGACACTACCACTCTCCTTTAAAAAAAGTATTTCTACATATAGGCTCATATAAGCAGATTAAATTACCTTTAGATAGGTTGGCTGGGAGTTTTTGCATGCTTTTAAAAATTGACCTTAACATCTGAAATCCAGGCAGGGTAAGAAAAGTACCATTTTGGCCACAAAATATGTAGGGTCCTGGTGCAGTTTGAGAGTCTGAAAACCCCATGAAAACAACTGCGATCCAAAAGTTGTGCTCAAAGCCTGGCTCTACCAGAAGTGTATTGACTAGCAAAAGTTGGTGGCCATGCTTCTTCATTATTCCTCCTTTTGTATAGACCCTGTCACCAGTCCTTCAGCTGGCAGATTCTGATGCTGCATTCAGATGTAAAACTGTGAGCTATTATTGCTTGTGCTGCTGAACTGACAAAACAGGCAACAACTGCAGAAAACCCCCCTTTGTCTTAGGACCAGAGCATGTGGCAGGACAGGGACATTGCTACTGAGTATTTCCTGGCCTTGGATGCTGGTAAATATTGTTAAAATAACTACCAAGTGCTATTTATCAGTGTGGACACTCACAGAAGGTGTCATGATATTACCAGCATCACCAACCGAAGGCAGGAGAAATGTGACGGTGCAGCCTGGACAGCCTGAGAGCACACAGGTTCATACCTTGTCTGATTCCTTCCTCTCCTTGAAGCAAGGTAAGCGGGTCATTATCTGAGGAGCCGTATTTGCATTGCTTCAGGTAACACCTTAGGTCACAATTTGAAAACATCCACAAAAATCTGTATCACATTCAAACCCTTAAATAACCAGAATCATCATTTCACTCCAGGTAACTGTGCTAAGACCGGTTGCATCAATAATTTATTTGCTTACATATTTACTTCAGTCAAATTCTTATCAAAAGCAAGGTCAAAACCTCAGCAGGCAGTGGGGGAGATGCTGCTGAGCTTCAGAGCACCCAGTAGAGATACAGACATACAGATGTTGGCAATTAACCCCTCACTGCAGCTGGGGACTATGGGCTTGTGAGGGCACACTCACAAACATCTTTAAATTTAGCTTTCCTCATCTGGGTGGCTGAGTTCAGAAAACCACTCCAGACACCTCTCAAAAGTATTTTCTCAACTGGGAGCCTAGTTAAGTCACTTCAGGGGGAATTGAAATCAAAGATGGTTTTCTCCATCCAGCTGAAATAGATTGTTTAGTGATTACAGAAATACAACCCTTCAAGAGGGGTTTTGTGGAGAGGTAGAAAGGCTGGGAGCGGTCTGCATGAAAGAGAATAAATAGTTTTTGCGGGGAGGAAAGGTATTTTTCTCTTTTAGCACAGCTACTAATGAAATAGCAAGAGTGGCTTACAAGGAAAACATGCAAACATTAAACTGCTGTGAATTATGCAGTTTGGTAAGAGATAAAATAATAATCAGCTCACCCTCAAGACCAAACCCCCACGGTGCTTGTAGGATCATGATGGGAGCGGTGTTGAGTCATGTCCTTTGCACAGCTCTGGGAGCACGGCATTCCCGGCATTCCGGAGCAGCAGGCAGCGGTGGCCCCACGCCTGCCCACCGCCCCTCGGAAAGCACATCTCGAGTGCTCTACAGCTTCTCCCGCTGCTGGCTGCCAGCCACCTCTTCTTCCTGGATCTCCTCAGGAAGCATCCTGTGAATGATTTTCATCCTGTGGAAGGCTGAGGCTTTCAGTCAGTGATGGGGTGGTTCACGGCCAGCTGGGCTTTAATTTGTGGTTATAGGGAGGTGTCATTAGCTCGAGGAACCCTCCCTGGCTGAGTGTATTTAAGGAGCTATTGCAGCAGTTCTAGATTGCCTGATAACCTCGTTGTCACCTCCCCAGGTGGCTGTAGTAAAAGTGGTGTAATTTTCTTTAGAAGGGCAGGAACCCGCAAAATAATTAAATATGTCAAGTCAGTCCAGTGTGTATGGAGACCCCAGGGTAATTTGCTTCCCTTTATAAACCTGAACTTGATTTGCCTAATTTCTTTCTAGATGAACCTGAACACTGGCTTTCAATTCTCATGGCCCCTTATTTATTATTTTTTAGACAGTTCATCTCTCCAGATACAAATCATAATTACCAGAGACTGGTGGGAAAGAGCCCAAATTCAAATGAATACATACATACATATGTGTGTGTGCACGTGTTATTCAAGTACTGCCTGTCAAAGCTGGAGGGATAGCTTTTAAATAAAGTCATGGAGAATGTCAAGCAACGTGAAGCAACCTAGTTAAACACTAAAAAATCTGTCCTCCCTTTTGTTTGGCTCCTGATTTATGTCAAGCTGGAATAAATTATAATAACACAAGGTTATTAATTTTTTTATTATATAAATATGAAGTGTATGCATTTAGTAACCTTCAGACTGTAAAACACAGATGGAAGTACATTCATAAGTTCCAAACCACCTCATTTAAAACTGATGCAAAGCACACCAAAAAGAGAAAGCATGAGAAAAATACTCAAGCGTCAGTACTCTCCCCAAAGTGCAAATTTTCTCTTCAAGCCACATTTCAACAAAACTGTTTGAAGGCAGAGACTAGCAGGTATACAAGACCACCAAGCTCGTGTTTAATTTTCATGAGACCTTAAGCAAAACCTCCTGCACACCGATTAGTTTTACAGAGAAGGCATTACCCCATTAGGACACAGGCGTCCTCAGGTGAACCCTCTCAGTGTCCCAGTGCCCACCTTGCTCCTGTTATAAATGCAACGGCAAAATAGGGTTAATATAAATAGCGATTTATTATAAAACAATTTCAATCACAACCGGAGAAAAAAACCACAATAAAATAGATCAGCGCAGCGCTGGGTGGACAGGGGTCTATACCCAGAGGTACAGATTTACCCAAATCCACACGGAGGGTTGAATGTCCAGGGTTTTTATAGGGATTAGGCCAAACTCCGAGCAGTCACTGTTCCACAAAGAGTCTAGATGGTTGGTTGAATGGATTTACTGGAACCATGGAACTGAATCAATAGACAACTGGGCAGAGTCCTTTCGCATGTGAAAGTTCTGATTGCCTCCTGATTGTATCTTTGGTTGGGCTCTCAGGGAGAAGTGTCCAGGTCAGTGTGGAGCTGATGGGTATCTCGGCTGGGCTCCTCTCAATGTCTGGCCTGATGCCCGTGTTCTGCTCTTCCTCTCAGGCTGATAAGCGTCCCCTAGGGTCGTTATCGCCTGAGTAGGTAGTTACTGCTGGGTTTGCGGAGGAATCTTTAGGTCACACTATATTTTTATGTGTTCTATATTGTTATAAATATAGTTATATACTTATTCCTTCCTTCACGAATTTTTTCCAAAGTGACATTTACCACACTCCTGTGCCACAAGGAGCAGTGCCACGCGGGGACAGCCTTGCGAGGTGACACTGCTGGTGTGACACGGCCCAGGACATCCTGCCAGGGTTTTTTTGACTCTCCAAATCCTGTGCACACTGGTGTCAGGGTTGCCCTGGGGGCACAATGTCTCTCTGGCTGGGTAGTTTCCTATACCTGATCATTCTCATTTTCTCAGATGGGATAGCGCTGTCAAAAACTTCTCTGAACATACCTACACAACATAAATTTCCAGGAAAGTGGCAAAGTTAGTAGTTCTGCCTTTTCTCAACCTCTGTTGCAGCAGTTGCAGCAGTTTAGTAGTGAATGTATATATTTATTGACTATAAATAACAATAAACTTTACAGAAAGGAAATTATTATTCTTATACATATTAGTTCAACAGGCTCCAGTTTAATTCTAAGCCCTTCATTTGAGAAACCATTTGTGATGTGGATTATATGTCAAAATATACAAGCCAATGAATCGTCTGCCCAGGGAGGTGGTGGAGTCACTGTCCCTGGACATGTTCAAAAAAAGACTGGACATGGTACCCAGTGGCATGGTTTAGTTGATGAGGAGGTGATAAATCATAGGTTGGACTTGATGATTTCAAAGGTCTTTTCTAACTTAGGCCATTTTGTGATTCTGGAATGTTGATGCTATTTCAAGAACAAGTAGAAAGTGTAAGTTAAAGAGTTAAGACCAGTGAAGAACAGAACATTTGAATATTATCTTCTACAGGTGACTAAAGATATAATTGCTGTTAGTAAAAACAAACCCTTTGTGTCAGAAAGAGTGCTGCAGATTAAAACACTCTAGTTATTTTTTTCTATATTCTTGAACAAAATTAGCCTGTAAATTTCTTTATACTTTCAGTGAAGATATTTTTGGAACTGCAATAAATTTCTCATTACATATTAATACACTACTGTCTGATTTTTTTTTTTTTTTTTTTTTTTTTTTTTTTTTTTTTTACTTTAAAATTATGTCTAAATGGGACAGTCCAATTATGTCTGATATAATGTTCTAATGTAATCCTGTGTGATTACAAGAAAGGTCTTGGGTTATTTAACAAGTGACATTTTGGATTTATTACAAAAGCAATATTGGAAGTATAGGACCTGTGGGGAGCCAATTAAACTTTCCTGGACATCATTTGCTTGGCAGTGTCCTCCTGCCACCAATGCAGCCCCTTGCCTGGGAAGCTGGAGTTTAGTTTGATGCATAATGATGAAGGCATCAATTTAGGGCTGTATACTTTCAGAGAGCACAGGAAGACTAAAGACAGATTTCAGTTGCTCCCATGACTGACCCTGTCAAAGTGATCAGCCCATGGAAATAGTCAGGCCACCTTGTCTGTGGTATCCCAGAGAGTCAATGCCAGGGAGAGAGTGGGCCTGACTAAATATGTCAGTGAATAAATCTTACAAGCCAAAGAAGTGAGGCACCTGAACCAGGTTTACTCCCTTTTGTATAAAACAGATGTGAAAGCTGAAATTATGCCCCATCCATTCTCACTATTTCAGTGCATCTGTGCAAGAATCCACTTAAGGCAGGGCAGAATGCTACTTGGAAAGTCATTGCCTGGAAAAGATGTGTGAAGAAGGTTGACCATGGCTGGGCTGGTTAGAGAGCTGCTGCAGCTGGCAACTAGAAAAGCTAAATTTTAATTGCAAATGAAGAATATTTGTTCAGTGATAGACATGGAACTGTGTGATGAACCTGTTACAGAATCATTTTCAGTAGTGGAACTTTCACTTGAAAATGGATTTATTAGAAATTTTGTGTCTCTATTTCTCATCATGAGATATTGATTTTTCAGCTAGATATGAGTTAAAATAAAGGGGAAAAAAATCCTAAACTTTATCCTGATGACCAAAGTAATGTTTGCTATAGAAGCCTTTTGCTCATATGGGCAAGCTAGAGTTTCTCAGTCCTGCCACAGCAGTCTTCATGTGGCCAGGCCACACAAGGAAAGTTTCATATCACTCTGGTGAAGCCACTTGCAGAAGTAGAATAGGATAAGCTTCCTAGAAGAAGTGCAATTTTAGCAGAATATTTCTGTTTATATAGCAGCTTTCACTGGTGCAATTATGATGACTAGATATTACACTCCTCTTTCTCTGCACCTGAGAGGATTCATTCCTGTGCCAACAAAACCTTCAGACCCAGCCAGAAGCAAAAGTTGAGTTAATTAGAATACAGATGAACACTTTACTACTTATCTCTGTTTTGCCACTTTTATTACATGAGCAAAATGAAAGTCATCTCATTATGCTAAAACTGTACCAGCACTCAGCTTCCTGCTATGGGTTTCTAGCTGGAAACCAGCTACATTGATGGATGTAATGAAGAATAGACAGGTACAGACAAGGAGAGATCCAGGGAGTGGCCAGTCATCACAGGAAATATTACAATCTTTTGATCTTTTGCTGTATCCAAATAATTTAAACATTGCAACTGAGAACAACAGTATCATATGAAAACTTGCACTCTGCCCTGATGTGCCTTGCAACCATTTTTATGTTCCCCTTAGCCCTCAGACATCTTATACCCATGTTATTTCTTTATTGCTTGTTTGTTTTTCTTTCTTTCACTGCAGCCCAGCTCTGGCTGTATCAGGCATAAAGCAGAGTGCACGATACACTTTTTCAGGGCATTCAGGCATGAACTATTTTTCACTCTGGATTCCCTCTGCCCTGTTTTGTTTCATAACTTTTCCCAGTGCAGTGATCAACCCGTCCTCCAATCGGCTTTACAACCTCACCAACAATACTGCTCCATAGATCAGCCCAGGTTGCCGCAGGATCATGATGGTTTTATGCCTCCAGTCTGCCACTTCCCACTGCCCCTAACTACCCAGCCAGTTTAAGTCCCAAGGTTGTTTGTAAGCTGGTGTGTGTAATACAGCCAGCAGGCTGGCCTGGGTTGTAAATTTGATGTATTTCATACTTAAGTAGGACTGTCAACTGTTAAATCCATTCCTTGCTAAAAATAAAAGCTACATAATAAGCCTGATACTGTAGATCACTTTAAACCAGATACTGTAATCCCCACTTGAGACAGATACATGACCTATTAAATTAAACATAGATTCCCTGAAATTACATGCAGAACCTCTCAGATCAGACCGACTGCATTACTTTACCCTGTAAATAGAAATACTGAAGTTGTGTATATATTCAGAAATGATATATACAGTCTTTTGTATATGCCTACTGCATTAACAGAGGTGTGCCTTGAAACAAAAACAATGTTGACAACATTTTCAAAACAAAATACCTGATACCATCTTTCTAAATATGTACTTAATTTTGTTAACAAAATAGGTCTTTACTTTCTGTACAGGTGATATCAGTGGCAGCTGAGGAAAAATGAAACCATCTATATTAAGGTGCTGATAA